GTGTCCCCTGGCATGGCTGGGGCACCCTGGCACAAAGCCACCTCCCAAGGAAGGGGACACTAATCTTTTTAGCCCCTGAGCCACTTGCTTGTGTCGGGGACAGAGGGAGAGGAGAAGCAAAGGGCTGCAGGCTTCAGATGAGGCTTTTCCATCAACCCCCCAACCTGGGACAGCCTGACAGAGCAGCAATTTTCCCTCTAATTAGATGTAAAGTCAGAAAGTTCAAGCCCTGCCTCAGCCACTGCTGGGCGTAAGGAACTCTCAGGGAATCAACACTTCAAAGATGTTTCGTGTGTCTTTATGGGAAGCTGCTACGCTCCCCAGCTTTGGTTCCCCAGCCCTGAGCTAAACGCGAGTGGGATGTGAAGAAAAGAGTTTGTGGTGGAGCAAGGACAGGGGGTCACCTTGTTGGCACGTCTTTTCCGCACCAAAAGCACCCCAAACACACAACCTCTTGCAGATCAGCTACACATGGTCACCAACCAGAGGAGCTGCCAGTACAACGGAGCCACCGAGGGACCCCGGCACAGCGTCTCACTCCCAAACACTTTGTGCAAAGCAGCTGCTTGCGCTGGGTTTGATCCCCCGGATCAGGAGGACACTGCCAGAGCAAGGCGCGATGCTCCAGGAGCCAACGGGGACGCAGGGGCAGGGACTCCATTAGCAGCAGCACCGAAAGCCCTGCAATGCCAGTCACCCTCCACGTCGCTCCAGCAGTGCCTCTGCAGCGCCGGAGGAGAAGCCGCCGGCCGGGCTGCGCGTGGGCAGCCAGCGCTGCTGCTCCCGGCCACCAGCCTGGCTGTGTCCATCCCTGCGTGCCCGGAGGCATGGCCAGGGGTGACAGCAGAACGATGCCAACCGAAGCACCTGCAGACAGGTGCTCTCATTTATGGCCTGCCGTGGCCATTGATTTAATACCTCGTTTGCCTTAGATCTATCACGACTTTGTAAAGTTGCTTCAAACACGGCACTCTATGGTGCCAGGTTTCATCCCACCCCTATTTTATCTCCTTCCTTGGTGACACTGTGGCCACCATGCCAGGTTCTAGCTCAAGCAGCGAGATATGGCTCAGACAGGGAGCGTAAAGCCTGCTGAGGGGTGACAAGGACAGCAGGGAAAGTGCCCTGATGGCATCCACTGCCTGCTCAGACCTACTGGGGCCTCATCCTGGGGCTGGGGCTCAGGGGTCTGGAAGGAAAGTGGGTTTAGCAAAGTCAGTAACATGATGGACATCACCCAGCAGCTAACACTGCCGTGGACAAAGGACATGAATTAAACGAGAGGAACTGAGCACCTTTTTCTCCCATCTGGAATGACTTTAACAGTCAGTAACCAGCTCACATGGAGACCTCTGCAGGAGGTGAACGAATCCCACCCTGCTTACCACAGCTCCGACCCGGGCCCTGCCACAGCTGCCTGAGAGCCCAGGGACAGAAACACCTGAGGGAATCAGGGACCGTCCTGCTGCTGGAATGATTGTACAGAACCCAGCCCAGGACACATCCATGATTCCCCCAGACCTGCTCACCTCTCCCAGAGCAGATTTGGGCAGTGCTGTTTGGAAACAAGGCACAGAGACAGAGCAACCACAGAGGCAGAGGGACATGGGGGCAAGGAGAGGGTCGCCCCGCAGCTGCTCCGGGATTGGAGATTCTGCAGCTCCTGCCCTATCCTCGGCTCCGAGCTCTCCTCCTGCCTCTCCGGTCCCCATCACCTCCAGCAGAAATGCTAATCAATGCATTTGCAAAACATGGAAATGACAGATAATATCGCTGATGAAAGCACTCCCGGCTCTCCTATTTCCAGCGGAACTTGAAATGTGGTTAAAAACTCCCTCTACCGCCCTGAACGTTATGAATTAATTCAACTGAACCGTAACAAGTAAATACACCTCCCCCAAAAAGGTCTTTCCTTTAGTGTAAAATAAAAGTGCAATTAATATTCATAACACATACATTTAGCATTTAAATTCAACATCCCCATCAGTTACACCAAGCTCTCACTACACATCAATATCTTTAATTACTCTTCTCTCCAGCAAGCACTGAACCTAAGTAGATGGAAATATTTCCCTTACGATTTATATTCCGCTTTATTACGATCTGAGGGGTTTTAAATGCAAAAGAAAAAGGAGAAAAAGAAAAAGGAGTTGGTTTGTTTATAGCTCCAGATCATTTCACTCGCTGCTTCCCAAGGGCTTCTGGAGCGCAGCGTTCGCACCCCCTGCTCCCAAGGATGAGCAGTCAGGGCTGGCACCCGGCTCCTGGGCAGTGGTTTATTGGAGAGGCACTTGCTACCCCTGCAAGGATGCATTTAGCCCCAATTCTCACCTCCTGCCATCACTCTCTCCTGCTTGCCTGAGTGAGAGCTGGGCAGGAGGCTCCAGGGCTGGCTGCAGCTACCCGCAGCCCCTGGTGAGGAGCTTCTCCCTGGGAAACATCCCAGGTCTGATTTCAATGGGAAAGGTGCAGCCCCAGGAAGGGAAGGAGAAGCAAAACGGCGTCTCACCTTACTGGCTCCGGGAAGCAAGTGCAATTTGACGTATGGATCAGCCAAACCATTATGGTCCATTGGCTTCAGGCCCTGGAGAAGAAATAGCAAAAAGCAGGTGTTAGAACAGCTAGGAGATGCTGGGCAGGCAGGGTGGCTTCGCTGAGCCCATCTGCTGATGCCGTCGGTCCACGGAGTAATTGCACAGTTTCCCCAGGATTGAGGAAGGAGGAGAGTACAGTCAGTGCAGGATCCGGGCTGTGCAGCAAAAGCAGAGCACACCCAGCGTTCAAACGTCGTCTGCTGTGTGTGCCGAGGAGGAGCCGGGAAGGCTCCTCACCT